GCTGGAGTGCAATGGCGCGATCTCGGCTCACCGCAACCTCCGCCTCCTGGGTTCAGACAATTCTCCTGCCTCAGCCTCCTGGGTAGCTGGGATTACAGGCACGCGCCACCATGCCCAGCCAATTTTTTCTGTATTTTTAGTAGAGACGGGGTTTCACCATGTTGACCAGGATGGTCTCGATCTCTTGACCTCGTGATCCACCCGCCTCGGCCTCCCAAAGTGCTGGGATTACAGGCTTCAGCCACCGTGCCCGGCCCTGGCTAATTTTTTTTTTTAAATTTTGTAGAGATAGGGTCTTGTGATGTTGCCCACACTGGTCTTGAACTCCTGGCCTCAAGTAGCCCTCCTACTTTGGCATCCCACAGTGCCAGAATTAATAGGCACAAGAGCCACCATGCCTAGCCCAAATCACTTACCCTTTATTTTACAAAAGTTTCAGTGATGTCAGTAATTAGAAAACTTTTTTTTTTTTTTTTTGAGACGGAGTTTCACTCATGTTACCCAGGCTGAAGTGCAATGGCGTGATCTCGGCTCACCGCAACCTCCGCCTCCTGGGTTCAGGCAATTCTCCTGCCTCAGCCTCCTGAGTAGCTGGGATTACAGGCACGCACCACCATGCCCAGCTAATTTTTTGTATTTTTAGTAGAGACAGGGTTTCACCATGTTGACCAGGATGGTCTCGATCTCTTGACCTCGTGATCCACCCGCCTCGGCCTCCCAGAGTGCTGGGATTACAGGCTTGAGCCACCGCGCCCGGCCAGAAAACATTTTTATTCAAAAAAAAAAAAAGGTAGGATCTGGATTTATCAATGGGCAAACTAAATTTACTTTTCAAAGTTTATTTTAAGTACAATACACCAAATATTTGCAGAGTTTAAGTTTTTAGGGCAACTTCTTTCCTTCAAAATTCCATAAAACTCTGTTACAGTGTAGATAATGAGATTAACAAAAGTCTTTATGTTATAATGTTCTGATAAGAAACTACCTCCTAGTTCTCTTACTGGAAGGGAAATTTGCTATGTGGCTATACCTACTCTGTCAGAAAACAGGCACTTCAGTATATTGCATAAAAAAATGTGTAATACCTGTGCATAGGCTTCATTTTCTTTGTAAAGAAGTGATCTGTCTGATATTATAGTCCTCATTATTCAAGGTAGTTGTATTCTATAAAGTTGCTGAATTAGCAAATACTGAACCACTGTTTCTAAGGAAAACACTAAATTAGGCTTCTGCCAACCTCTGGTCACAACATTTTTGTCAGCCTATCAATATATAACCTTGTTTTATATGTGTTTCTGTTTAAAGATATCTTAATTAATGTGCAGTCATGCTTCAATTAATGATGGGGATACATTCTGGGAAATGCATCATTAGGTGATTTCATTGTTATGAGAATATCATAGAATATACTTAATACAAAACTTACACAAACCTGTGGTATAGCCTGGTATACACCTAGGCTGTATGGTATAGCCTCTTGCTCCTATGCTACAAACTTGTACAGCATGTTACTGTATTGAATACTGTAGACAATTGTAACACAGTGGGAACTATGTGTATAAATAAACATACCTAAACCATACCATTTAAAAGTACAGTGAAAAGGCCAGGCTTGGTGGCTCATGCCTGTAATCCCAGCACTTTGGGAGGTCAAGGCGGGTGGGTCACCTGAGGTCAGGAATTCAAGACCAGTCTGGCCAACATTGTGACACCCCATCTCTACTAAAAATACAAAAATTAACCAGGCATGTTGGTGTGTGCTTGTAGTCCCAGCTACTCGGGAGGCACAAGAATCACTTGAACTCAGGTGATGGAAGTTGCGGTGAGCTGAGATCATGCCACTGCACTCCAACCTGAGCAACAGAACGAAACTCTGTCTCAAAAAAAAAAGTTTGGTAAAAACGTGGTTATAAAAGATAAAAAATGCTATTATACATTTATATAGGGAACTTACCATGAATGGAACTTGTAGGACTGGAAGTTGGTTTGGGTAAGTCAGTGAGTGTGAGTGGTTAGTGACGATCTAAGAACATTACTGTGCACCATTGTAGACTTTTATAAACATTGTACACTTAGACTATAGTAAACTTAAAAAGTTTTTTGTTTAAATAAGCTTCACTTACTGGAACTTTTTGTATAGGCCATTTTAAGAACTTTATGTAGCTTTTTTACTTTATAAACTTTTAGATTCTTTCATAACATTTAGCGTAAAATACAAATACATGGTAGGGCTACACAAAAGTGTTTTCTTTCTTTATGTCTTTATTCTATAAACTCTTGTATTAATTTTTTAACTTTTTAAAAATGTTTTTAAAATTAGAAATAAGACACAAACACACACATTAGCCTAGGCCTGCACAGGTGAGGATCATTAATAGCACTGTTTTCCACCTCTACACCTTGTCCCACTGGAAGGTCTTCAGGGGCAACAACACATAAGGAGCTGTCATGTCTTATAAAACAGTGCCTTCTTCTGCAGTACCTCCTAAAGGACTTGCCTGAGGCTGTTTTATAGTTAACCTTTTTTTTTTTTTTTTTTTGAGACGGCATTTCACTCTTGTTGCCCAGGCTGGAGTGCAATGGCGTGATCTCACTACAACCTCCGCCTCCCAGGTTCAAGCGATTCTCCTGCCTCAGCCTCCCAAGTAGCTGAAATTACAGGCATGCACAACCATGCCTGGCCAATTTTTTTTTTTTTTTGAGACAGAATTTCACAGACAGGTGCCAGGCTGGAGTGCAGTGGCGCGATCTCGGCTCACTGCAACCTCCGCCTCCCAGGTTCAAGCAATTCTTCTGCCTCAGCCTCCCAAGTAGCTGGGACTATAGGCACGCGCCACCACGCCCAGCTAATTTTTGTATATTTTTTAGTAGAGACGGGGTTTCACCATGTTGGCCAGGCTGGTCTCAAACTCTGGACCTCAGATGATCCACCCTCTTCAGCCCCCCAAAGTGCTGGGATTACAGGTGTGAGCCACCATATCTGGCCAACTTTTTTATTTATTTATTTTTTTTATAAGAACAAGTAGACTCTAATAATAAAGATACAGCATTGTAAATACATAAACCAGTGACATAGTTGTTTATTATAATTATCAAGCATTATGTATTACACAATGAGGTATACATGTTGCACTTTTATACAGTTGGCAGTACAGTAGGTTTTTGTACACCAGCATTACCACAAACGTGAATGATGTTTTGGATTACTACTGGGAATTTTTCAGCTTCATTATGATTTTATGAGACTGCTGTCTACCACTACAGAGTGTGGACTGTATATTGTTGATCCATATACTTTGAACTCATAGTGAATAGCACTATAACTCATGCACTGCCCTTTTCAAAAGTGGAACAGGCTCTCTTTGTCCAAGTACATAGGTTCTTATTAAAAGAAAAAAATATTAAGAATTACAACCTACCATTGTATGTAGAAAATCTTCTGATATTTCTGTAGCTTTGACTTTGTTTTTAAATCAAATATATGGTATGAAGGAATGTTACTGGGATCCACAACCTATAGTCTCTCATTAGAGTTCTATGTCTGGTAAATATGTTTCTTTTTTTTTTTTTTTTTTTTTTTGAGACAGGATCTCACTCTAATGCCCAGGATGGAGTGCAGTGGCATGATCTTGGCCCACTGCAGCCTCCACCTCCCAGGCTCAAGCAATCCTCCCACTTCAGCCTCCTGACCAACTGGGACCATAGACACACACCACCATACCCAGCTAATGTTTTGTATTTTTCTTTTATAGAGGCAGGGTTTTGTCATGTTGACCAGACTGGTCCCAAACTCCTGGGCTCAAGCAGTCTACCTGCTTCAGCCTCCCAAAATGCTGGAATTACAGGTGTGAGCCATCCTGCTCTGCCCAAATATGTATCTTAATATGCATTTCTTAAAGAATCTAATAACCAAACAGATCTTCCCATAAGAATGTTATATTTGTATGACAGTAATTTATATCATCCAATGAGATGTCTATATTAAGAATAAATTATATGAGTTCTGGTAATCTCTAAAAACCTTTGTGTCAGACATCGCCTCCCTAATTTAGTCCAAGTTTAGTTGTTTTAATTTGGTTACTAAGTAGTCTTTGGGAGGGACATCATGCAAGAATTGAGACATTATCAGAAGCAGAATTTAGAGTTGAAGAATTAAGATTCTCTTATTTCCGTGTTTGCAGATGTTTTTGTATGCAAAAGGGGTAAGAAGGCAATTAAAAAAAAGAAAAATAATAAAGTTGGTTTATTCCAGCAAGCATTGTTAGGAAATTTAGTCTGCTTATATGAGACGTTCAGCAAATACTTATATAAGTAAATAAATAATATTTGGAATGAAAAGTCAGAGATAATAATCTAGCATTCCAATGATTTGGGTTTTTAATTGATATTTGTATTTGATTTTAGGGTGGATCTATTTTATTAATAACAGGTCCTCCTGGATGTGGAAAGACAACAACCATAAAAATACTATCAAAGGAGCTTGGTATTCAAGTACAAGAGTGGATTAATCCAGTTTTGCCAGACTTCCAAAAAGATGATTTCAAGGAAATGTTTAATACTGGTAAGATTTGCTGTGAAGGTTGTGGAAGTAGTGGGGAAAACCTGTTCTTAAGGGACCTTTCAGATAATGTTCTATGAGTGCATTTTTTCCCATACTTTCCAGTTTCAGAGGGACGGAATTTCACAGGCCATGTGTGGTGGCTCTCACATGGGAGGCTGAGCCAGGAAGATTGCTTGAGGCCAGGAGTTAAAGACCAGGCTGGGCAATATAGCCAGACCCTGTCTACAGAAATTTAAAAAATTAGGTATAGTGTTCTGCACCTATAGTTCCAACTACTTGGTCTGAAGTGGGAGGGTCAACTTGAGCCCAGGAGTTCAAGGTTGCAGTGAGCTGTGATTGTACCATCATCATGCTCCAGGCTCGGCAACAGAGTGAGACACTGTCTCAAAAAGAAAAAAAAAGTTACTTCAGGAGAAGGAAAAAAAGCATGTCTCCAATGGAAGGGAATGGAATTTTTTAAAGATTAAGTCTTAACTGTTTTGTTAACATGTTCTTCTATTTGCATTATTTATCTACTTTTTTCAAGACAGAGTGTCCCTCTGTCGCGCAGGCTGCAGTGCAGTGGCACAATCTCGGCTCACTACAGCCTCCATCTCCCGGGTTCAAGCGATTCTCCTGCCTCAGCCTCCTGTGTACCTGGGACTACAGGCGCGTGCCACCAAGCCCAGCTAAATTTTTGTATTTTTAGTAGAGACGGGGTTTCATGGTGTTAGCCAAGATGGTCTCGTGATCTGCCTATCCACCCACTTCAGCCTCCCAAAGTGCTGGGATTACAGGCGTGAGCCACTGCACCCAGCCTATTTATCTACTTTTTTCTAAGATCTGGCTAGGAGGTTAGACAGTGTTAAATAAGATATTTTATTTGTTAAATCAAGCCTTGCAATGTGTTAAAAAAAAAAAAAAAAAAAAAACTTGCCGCCCCAAGATAGTGTAGATCAGTAAATACCTGCTAAAAAAAAATCAAATGAAAGCAAAAGGCAAGGATGTCTTTGGAATTTGGAAGGAGACCTTAAGATAATGATTCAAAAATTGATAATAGTAACAATTTATTTTATTTATTTATTGATCGAGACAGATTCTCACTCTGTCACCCAAGTTGGAGTGCCACCTCTGTCTCCCAGGCGCAAGCTGTTCTCATGCCTCAGCCTCCCGAGTAGCTGGGATTACAGGCATGCGCCACCACACCCAGCTAATTTTTGTGTTTTTAGTAGAGATGGGGTTTTGGCATGTTAGCTAGGCTGGTTTCAAACTCTTGGCTTCAGGCGATCCACTTGCCTCAGCCTCCCAAACTGCTGGGATTACAGACGTGAGCCACCACTCCCAGCCCTCCTTTTGGGTCTCTCTTTTTTCTATAGGATTCTTCTGCAAGAAGAGTTCTTTGCCAGGAGCAGCCTTCTGCTTTGGGTTTCTTCTCCCATCTTTCTAGTGTTGGAACTCATTTAGAAATTCTTCATTGGTAGGCCAAAGTCATAAATATTTTTACCAATTATATGAATGTTATACTGACAGCTGTGTTCTTAGGTCAGTTAAATCTATATTACACAGAGTCTCACTCCTTTTTTTTTTTTTTTTTTTTTTTTTTGAGACGGAGTTTCGCTCTTGTTACCCAGGCTGGAGTGCAATGGCGCGATCTCGGCTCACCGCAACCTCCGCCTCCTGGGTTCAGGCAATTCTCCTGCCTCAGCTTCCTGAGTAGCTGGGATTACAGGCACGCACCACCATGCCCAGCTAATTTTTTGTATTTTTAGTAGAGACGGGGTTTCACCATGTTGACCAGGATGGCCTCGATCTCTTGACCTCGTGATCCACCTGCCTCGGCCTCCCAAAGTGCTGGGATTACAGGCTTGAGCCACCGCACCCGGCTGTCTCACTCTTATTAAAAGAAAACAAATAGCAAGAATAGCAAGAGTCTCACTCTATGATAATATAGACTTAACTCACTGCAACCTCCTAGGCTCAAGTGAACCCCACCGTCGCAGCCCCTCAAGTAGCTGGGACTACAGGCACAAGCCTCCACACCTGGCTAATTTTTGTATTTTTTTGTAGAGACAGGGTTTTACCATGTTGCCCAGGCTGCTGTTGAACTCCTGAGGTCAAGCAATCGATCTACCTTGGCTCATGATTACAGTCATGAGCCACTGTGCCTGGCCCCATGTTGACTCTTGTCTTTTGAAAGGAATATCCTATTTTAAATTTAAATAACTTTTCATAATTAGGAAACAGTCTACAGTATTGTGAGATGCTTTGAGTGTGTGTGTGTGTGTGTACATAGAGATGTATAATATTAATTTATACAATTTGTTGAAAATAAAAATGGCATATGTGTTTCCTTTCAGAATCAAGCTTCCATATGTTTCCCTATCAGTCTCAGATAGCAGTTTTCAAGGAGTTTCTACTAAGAGCAACAAAGTATAACAAGTTACAAATGCTTGGAGATGATCTGAGAACTGATAAGAAGATAATTCTGGTTGAAGTAAGGACAACTTTAAATTTTTTTTTTTTTTTTTTTGAGACAAAGTCTCCCTTTAACCCCCAGGCTGGAGTTCAGTGGTGCAATCTTAGCTCACTGTAACCTCTGCCCTCTGCTTCCTGGACTGAAACAATTCTCAAGCCTCAGCCTCTCCTGAGTAGCTGGGATTATAGGCACCTGCCACCATGCTGGGCGAATTTTTGTATATTTAGTAGAGATGGGGTTTCGCTACGTTGGTGAGACTGGTCTTGAACACCTGACCTCAGGTGATCTGCCCACCTTGGGGAGCCATTGCACCCAGCCAACTTTTAAAATCTTCCTGTAGCTATTGACCACACAGTTGTGAGATATACCTTACATGATAACTTTAGCTGTTTCTATAGTAGTAATATTGGTAAAATACAGCACAAAGGCTTTGTAATAGTAGAAACCTAAAGTCTTTTTTAATAAACCTGAATGAAATAGCTGTAGGATAAGGAACATTAAATTTTTAATGGTTTAAGTATAGAAAAGCAAAAGGAAAGTTTGGAAAATTACTTTCCAGTGAAAATACTGTAACTGAAAAGCAACCCTAAGAAATTTGGTCTGAAATTGAGATCCCCATTGATGTATATTACTGTTTGGGATATCATCTATTTCATGTTTCCTTTAACTTCTATGAAAGTTCTCTTTAAAATATATAGAATAAATATATTTTTAAGTTTAAGTATGCTTAAGTGTAAGTATAAATCTGAAAAAGTATAAATCTGAAAAATAAATATGAAATGGAATAAACTATATTATTATTTATTTTTTATGTTCCATAGGATTTACCTAACCAGTTTTATCGGGATTCTCATACTCTACATGAAGTTCTAAGGTAAGTTTCAGTGAAGTATTCTAAAACTCCAAAGTAAATGACAAGTGGCTTAAATTTCAACATTCCTGTATTTTGTTATTTTAGGAAGTATGTGAAGATTGGTCGATGTCCTCTTATATTTATAATCTCTGACAGTCTCAGTGGAGATAATAATCAAAGGTTATTGTTTCCCAAAGAAATTCAGGAAGAATGTTCTATCTCAAATATTAGGTAAGACAGAAATTTCTGTTTATAAAGACCATATACATACTATATTTTTAACTTAATCATTTAACTGCTATCTTTCTTTATAAAACTTTTAGTTTCAACCCTGTGGCACCAACAATTATGATGAAATTTCTTAATCGAATAGTGACTATAGAAGCTAACAAGGTAAGTCTTTAAGTAAACCTTGTAACTATAGAAAGTCCAGCTTAAGCTTACATAGTATTATATAAATTGAAGGAGCTAGCGACATGTATTATTTTAATTTTTTAGAGTTAAAACATTTTGTTATACTCATAAAGCATGTCATTTTAGCAAATGTAGGAAATTCTGATTTTTAAAATTTTCCTACTATTAAACTTTCACTTTCACATTGAGGTATATTTTTCCTTTGCTTGGTTTACTGTTCTAAATTGTATCTGTCATCAAGAAAATGTTTTCTGGTATTTAAGTATGGTAGCTATCAGTAATTCAACTGTTTCTATTGTCCTGTTGTCACTTTTTTAAGTTTTTTAAAAAATTTGTAATGACAAACATGTATTATAAAATATATCATCTTAACCATTTTCAGATATACAGTTCAGTAGTGTAAAGTATATTTACATTCATATACAGCTGTTGTCACTTTTTTTGTTTGTTTTTTTGAGACAAGGCCTCACTCTGTTGCTGAGGCTAGACTACAGTGGCATAATCATGGCTCACTGCAGCCTCGACTGCTTGGGCTCAAGTGTTCTTCCACCTCAGCTTCCCGAGCAGCTTGGACTGCAGGCTGGCACCACCATGACTGGCTAATTTTTTTATTTTTTGTAGAGATAGGGTCTCCCTTTATTGCCCAGGCTCGTCTCAAATTCCTGGCTCAAGTGACCCTCCCGTCTCAGCATCTGAGCTGAAATTTCAGGCGTGACCCTCTGTGCCTGACCTCTTGTCAATTTAAGTATGTCATTTTTTTCTATATTTCAAAGCAAGATGATGTTAAAAAGAAAAAAACTGATGGACCTTCTGCTCCCAACATCATGGTTCTAGGGAATCCTACTGGTAAACACAAACCAATTCTTGCATAAAACATAATTTTTGTTGCACTGCTACGACAACAGGAACTGAGGGAAATCTCGAAGGGAAAGGTTTTGAGGATTAAACATATTAATGTGGAGCACCTAGCTGAATAAATAACAGATATTAATAGTGAAAAATGAGAAACAAACTGAGTCCAATAATATAGGAAGCAATTACTGTGATGAATTATTATGCCATTAGTGTTTTGAAAATATTCAATGGGTCAGGCTTGGTGGCTCATGCCTGTAATCCTAGCACTTTGGGAGGCCAAGGCGGGCAGATCATCTTAGGTCAGGAGTTTGTGACCAGCCTGGCCAATAAGGCAAAAACCCCATCTTTGATAAAAATACAAAAATTAGCTGGTGTGGTGGCGGGCACCTGTAATTCCAGCTACTCAGGAGGCTGAGGCAGGAGAATTGCTGGAACCCGGGGGACTGAGGTTGCAGTTAGCCAAGATCAAGCCAGTTCACTCCAGCCTGGACAAAGAGTGAAACTCCATCTAAAAAAAAATTATATGTGTATATTTAATGACATGGAAAATGATCACAATTTAATGTTACATTAAAAATAAAATAACGAGAGGTGGCCCAGTATGGTGGCTTGTTCCTGTAATCCCAGTACTTCGGAAGGCTGAGACAGGAGGATTGCTTGAGGCCAGGAGTTTGAGACCAGCCTGGGTATCATAGCAATACTCTGTCTTTACAAAAAAAAAAAAAAATTTTAAGGCAGGGTCTCACTCTATTACCTAAGCTGGAGTACAATGGCATGATCTCGGCTCACTGCAGCCTCAACCTCCCAGGCTCAAGCAGTGCCCCCACCTCAGCCTCCCAAGTAGCTGGGACTACAGACATGTAGCACCACAGCTGGCTAGTTTTTTTTTTTTTGGTTGTTGCTTATTTGTTTGATATGGGGTCTCTCTCTGTTGCCTAGGCTGTAGTGCAGGGGTACAATCTCGGCTCACTACCGTCTCCGCCTCCAGGTTCAAGTGATTCTCATGCCTCAGCCTCCCAAAAGGTGGAATTACAGGCATGCACCATCATATCCAACTAATATTTGTATTTTAGTAGAGACAGGTTTTCACCATGTTGGCCAGGCTGTTTTCAAACTCCTGGCATCAAGTAAGCCATCCACACCTCAGCATCCCTAAGTGCTGGGGTTACAGGCTGAGCCATTATACTTGGTCCTGGCTAGTTTTTTGTATTTTCTGTAGACACAGGGTTTTGCCATGTTGCCCAGGCTTGTCTCAAACTCCTTAGAAGCAATCTGCCTGCCTTAGCCTCCCAAAGTGCTGGAATTACAGATGTGAGCCACAGTGCTCAGCCTACAAAAGATTTCTTAAAAAGTTAACTGGGCATGGTGGTACGCTCCTGTAGTCCCAGCTACTCAGAAGGCTGAGGAAGGAGGATCGCTGGAGCCCAGGAGTTTGAGGCTGCAGTGATCTTGGTGACACGACTGTAGTCTGTCATGGACAGAGCTAGACCCTATCTCTAAAAAAAAATTTTTTTTGGTTGGGCGCAGTGGCTCATGCCTGTAACCCAGCACTTTGGGAGGCTTAGGCGGGCAGATCACAAGGTCAGGAGATCGAGACCATCCTGGCTAACACAGTGAAACCCCATCTCTACTAAAAATACAAAAAATTAGCCAGGTGGTTGTCACGCGCCTGTAGTCCCAGCTACTTGGGAGGCTGAGGCAGAAGAATCACTTGAACTTGGGAGGCAGAGGTGTCAGTGAGCCGAGATCACACCCCTGCACTCTATCCTGGGCAACAGAGCAAGACTCCATCTCAAAAAAAAAAAAAATCTTTTTTTAAAGGGGCAAAATTATGTAACACTATCAATAGAAATTATGTCATCAGGCCAGGCAAGGTGGCTCACGTCTGTAATTCCAGCACTTTGGGAGGCCAAGGTGGGCGGATCACCTGAGGTTGGGAGTTTGAGACCAGCCTGACCAACATGGGGAAACCCTATCTCTACTAAAAATACAAAAATTAGCTGGGCATGGTGGCGGGTGCCTGTAATCCGAGCTAGTTGGGAGGCTGAGGCAGGAGAGTCGCCTGAACCTGGGAGGCGGAGGTTGCAGTGAGCCGAGATTGTGCCATTTCACTCCAGCCTGGGCAACGAGCAAAACTCCATCACAAAAAAGAAATTATGTCATCAGCCCTTGATACGTGGCAGGCACTATGCAAAGTATCAGATGGGATTAAAGTTTGGTTCTGGCCCTAATTTACTATGCTGAAACAAACAGGGTGAATAACAAAATACATACATGTATATACACACACACACACATATACACACATATATATATATACACACACACACATATAAACCTATGCATATTAGAAAAAAAGTACACAGAAATGCTAAGTGTGATTAGTTCTGGATGGTAGGATTACTTGCATATTTAGGTCTTTAAAAAAAAAAAACTACCCTACTTTGGGTGCAGTGGCTCACGCCTATAATCACAGCACTTTGGGAGGCCGAGGTGGGTGGATCAACTGAGATCAGGAGTTTGAGACCAACTTGGACAACATGGAGAAACCGTCTCTACTAAAACTATAAAAATTAGCTGGGCATGATGGTACGGCGGGAACTTGTAATCCCAGCTACTCCTGAGGCTGAGGCAGGAGAGTCGCATGAACCCGGGAGTTGGAGGCTGCAGTGAGCCAAGATTGTGCCATTGCACTCCAGCCTGGGTGACAAAGCGAGACTCTGTCTCAAAAAAAAAACAAAAAAACTACGCTGTAATCCCAGCACTTTGGAAGGCTGAGACGGACAGATCACTTGAGGTCAGGAGTTCAAAAACAGCCTTGCCAACATGGTGAAATCCTGTCCCTACTAAAAATACAAAGATTAGTTGGATGTGGTGCACACATGTAGTCCCAGCTACTTGGGAGGCTGAGGCAGAATTGCTTGAACCCAGGAGGCGGAGGCTGCAGTGAGCTGAGATTGCATCACTGTACTCCAGCCTGGGTGACAGAGCGAGACATTGTCTCAAAAAAAAACTACATTCTCTGGCCGGGCGCCGGTGGCTCACGCCTGTAATCCCAGCACTTTGGGAGGCCGAGGCGGGTGGATCACGAGGTCAAGAGATCGAGACCATCCTGGTCAACACGGTGAAACCCCGTCTCTACTAAAACTACAAAAAATTAGCTGGGCATGGTGGCGCGTGCCTGTAATCCCAGCTGCTCAGGAGGCTGAGGCAGGAGAATTGCCTGAACCCAGGAGGCGGAGGTTGCGGTGAGCCGAGATCGCGCCATTGCACTCCAGCCTGGGTAACAAGGACAAAACCCCCTTCTAAAAAAAAAAAAAAAAAAAACAAAAAACTACATTCTCTACTATAAGCATGAGAACTGCAAATTGAGCCATGGTGCATGCCTGTAGTCCCAGCTACAAAGACTGAAATGGGAGGATTGGTTGAGCCCAGGAGCTCAAGCCCAGCCTGGATGATAATAGTGAGACCTTGTGTCAAGAAAAAAGTGTTTTTTAAGTGACTTGATCAGTTCAAATGGCTCCAGTTTAAAAAAAAAAAAAAAAAAGAAATAATTGGAGTAATGGTGGCTTTTTCGTCCTCACCAGACTATATAATATGCTGAAAACCCTAGTAAAGGAATTTTCATGTAAATTTTGTAAATATATCAGATTATTTTGTGTGTATTTAATTTTATCACATTCTATTGCATTTTGAGGGGTTTTTTGTGTGTATGTGTGTGTACATATATAGGTTGATATATATCTGTGTGTATATAGTGAGAAAAAGTAAAAAGTTTAAAATACAACAGGGTCAAAGTGAAAAAGTAAAAAAATGCAGTATTTAATATTTCCTGAAAGTTTACCTTAAACTGTAATAAGTTATTGATGCTTGTACCATTCATAGACCAGTGTTTAACATGGAGGCTTTTTAGTTTTTTATTATTATTTTAAGGTAATTTTTTTTTTCTGGCCCTATTGCCCAGGCTGGAGTCCAGTGGCAAAATTATAGATCACTGCAGCCTTCATCACCAGGGCTCAAGCGATCCTAGAATCTTAGCCTCAGAAGTAGCAGGGACTACAGGCTCACACCACCATGCCCAGCTAATTCTTCTGATGTTTTGTAGAGATAAGGTCTTCCTATCTTGCCTAGGCTGGTTTCGAACTCCTGAGCTCAAGTGTTCCTTTTGCCTCAGCCTCCCCCACATTGCTGAGATTACAGGAATGTGCCATCGTGTCCAGTCCTTTTTAGTATTTAAGTTTAAAAGAATCTAATTTACTTTCTTTAAGTTTAGAAAATAGGTTGGGGTTTTTTGTTGTTGTTATTTTTAAGAAAATACCTTTTTTTTAAATTTAATTTTTTAATTTTAGAATGGAGGAAAAATTACTGTCCCTGACAAAACTGTTCTAGAGTTGCTCTGTCAAGGATGTTCTGGTGATATCAGAAGTGCAATAAACAGCCTCCAGTTTTCTTCTTCAAAAGGTAACTATGGAAGATACAGTCATGTGGCATTATATAAGTGACTGACTTTCTCTTAATTATTCATTCAAGAAATCAAAATAAATTTTTTTTTTTTTTTTTTTTTTTTTTTTTTTTTTTTTGAGACAGAGTCTTGCTTTGTCACCAGGCTGGAGTGCATTGGTCAGATCTCGGCTCACCACAACCTCCACCTCCCTAGTTCAAGTGGTTCTCCTGCCTCAGCTTCCTGAGTAGCTGGGACTACAGGCGTACACCACCACACCCAGCTAATTTTTGTATTTTTAGTAGAGACAGGGTTTCACCATGTTGGTAAGGTGTTGGTGAGGCTGGTCTCGAACTGCTGACCTCAAGTGATCCACCTGCCTCGGCATCCCCAAGTATTGGCATTACAGGTGTGAGCCACCTCGCCTGGCCAATAAACTTTTATTTATGAATGAATGAAGGAGACAGAGTCTCGCTCTTGTTGCCCAGGCTAGAGTGCAATGGCACGATCTCGGCTCACCACAACCTCTGCCTCCCAAGTTCAGGTGGTCTTCTGCCTCAGCCTCCTGAGTAGCTGGGATTACAGGTATGAGCCACCATGCCCAGTTAATTTTTTGTATTTTTAGTAGAGACGGAGTTTCACTATGTTGGTCAGGCTAGTCTTCAACTCCTGACCTCAGGTGATCCACCTGCCTTGGCCTCCCAAAGTGCTGGGATTACAGGTGTGAGCCACCTTTCCCAGCCTAATTAATTTATTATTTTTTATTTTATTTATTTATTTATTTATTTTTAAAGTCAGGGTTTCACCATGTTGGTCAGGCTGGTCTTGAGCTCCCGACCTCAGGTGATCTGCCAGCCTTGGCCTCCACAGTGCTTGGATTACAGGCGTGAGCCACTACGCCTGGCCTAATTAATTTATTTTTTTGAGATGGAGTTTGACTCTTGTTGCCCAGGCTGGAGTGCAATGGCATGATCTCAGCTCACTGCAACCTCTGCCTCCCAAGTTCAAGCAATTCTCCTGCCTCAGCCTCCCGAGTAGCTGGGATTACAGGCACCTGTCACCATGCCCAGCTAATTTTTTTTTTTTTTAATTTTTAGTAGAGACAGAGTTTCACCATGTTGGTCAAGCTGGTTGTTAACTCCTGACGTCAAGTGATCCACCTGCCTTAGCCTCTCAAAGTTCTGGGATTACAGGCATGAGCCACCACGCCAGCCAAAATAAACATTTTAACTTATATTTGATCTATACCTATCCTTTTTTATTGAAACAGTGGCTTAAAAAGAAATAGGTACACATGCATACATACCCTTATATGAATGTGTTGTAGTATGTATCCTTGTTTCTGTTTGAGTTAGTTGACCTTTCAAAGTTAATTTAGAATGAGACTTCCATTATAAAAATTCTGCCTCTGCCACTTACCAGTTATATAGGCCTATGCAGGTGACTCTATCTTTCTGTGCCCCTTTTTACTCACCTTTTATGTGAGAACTTACACGTTAGGGTTCTGTGAAGAATATTTAAGGTGATACTTATAGAGTGCTTCTTACAATGCTTGATTCATATTAAGTGCTCAGTAAATGGCCAGCCATTAATCAGTTTAATAGTATTGTGCTGAGGTAGGTTTACTTTTGAAATTATTTTTACGATAATTTATATGTTTAATAAATTTATTTCCCATTAATATGTAAAAAGTGTGAATAACCATGATGTAGCAAAACTATAGCTTCACTAATGGCAATGAGTTATGTTTTCACTGTAATGATCATAGTTTACTGCATTGTCCTTATCAGAAGGCATTTAGCAGATATTTAATGCTTAATGTTAACAATTTGACCTTAGGGCCGGGCGCGGTGGCTCACGCCTGTAATCCCAGCACTTTGGGAGGCCAAGGCGGGTGGATCACGAGGTCAAGAGATCGAGACCATCCTGGTCAAAATGGTGAAACCCCGTCTCTACTAAAAATACAAAAAAATTAGCTGGGCATGGTGGCGCGTGCCTGTAATCCCAGCTACTCAGGAGGCTGAGGCAGGAGAATTGCCTGAACCCAGGAGGCAGAGGTTGCGGTGAGCCGAGATCACGCCATTGCACTCCAGCCTGGGTAACAAGAGCGAAACTCCGACTCAAAAAAAAACAAAAAAAAAAACAAAAAAAAAACAATTTGACCTTAAAGAGTGGGCCAGAAACTATGTTAGCAATTACGTTTTTTCATTTAATTCTCATATCAGCCTAATGAGATAGACAGTACATTGATTCAAATGCAGATCCTGTGCTCTTTCTGCTGTTTTTAGCAGCTTTTAGGGCATGTACTTGAGTTCTAAATAGTAGACATAAAAATGAAATTTGGAGCAGGCATGGTGACTCTTGTCTGAAGCCAAGGTTGGCGAATCAGTTGAGCCTAGGAGTTTGAAACCAGCCGGGTCAACATAGCAAGACCTTGTCTCTACAAAAAAATTAAGAAAAAAAAATAAATAAATAAATTTGATCACATGCATATTCATAAATTGGGTACTCTCAACATCAATAGAGAGGTTGTTAAACATAGATTACAAAACCAGACTGCCTGGATTCCAGTCACTCACTCACTGATGACCTTGAGCCAGTTATTTAACCTCTTTAAACCCCTTTATATCTCATTTTATTAACTGTCTAATAATAATTCTTGGTCAGGTGCAGTGGCTCATGCCTGTTATCCCAACATTGTAGGAGACTAAGGTGGAAGGAAGCTTCAACTTCAGGAGTCTTATATCAGCCTGAGCAACATAGCGAGACCTCATCTCTAATTTTAAAAAATTTAGCCAGGTGCATACCTGTAGTCCTGGCTACTTGAGAGGCTGAGGTGGGAGGATCGCTTGAGCCTGGAGGTTCAGCCTTCAGTGAGCTATGATTGTGCCGCTGTACTCCAGCCTGGGTGATAGACCCAGACCCTGTGTCAAAAAAAAAAAAAAAAAAAAAAAAGGTAGGGTGTGGTGGCTCACACCTATAATCCCAGCACTTTGGGAGGCCAAGTCAGGTGGATTACTTGAGATTAGGAGGTCATGACCAGCCTGGCCAACATGGTGAAACCCTGTCTCTGCTAAAAATACAAAAAATTATCCGGGCATATGCCTGTAACCCCTGCTACTTGGAAGGCTGAGGCAGGAGAATCACTTGAACACAGGAGGCACAGGTTGTGGTTAGCCGAGATCACACCACTGCACTCCAGCATGAGTGACAGAGCAAGACACCATCTCAAAAAAAAAAAAAAAAATTCTCCTCTCACAGGGTTATTATGAAGATTAAATTCATGTGTATCACATGCCAATAACAGTACCTTTCAAATAACACCATGAGAAACCAAGGTGATATGACTAACAGGTTGAATATCCTTTATTTGAAATGCTTGGGAATAGAAGGATTGTAGATTCTTTTTAGATTTTAGAATATTTGCAGTATACCAATTGAAAATCCCTCATCCGAAAATCTGAAATACAAAGTGCTCCAGTGAGCATTTTCTTTGAGCCTCATATTAGCACTGCAAGTTTCATATTTTGGAGCATTTTGGGGTTTGAATTTTTGGATGAGGAATATCAGCCTATTAGAGACTGTGCTATTGTGCATGTGAAAGTTTGAAATCTGCATTATGAAATAACTTTCAAATAACACTTTATTCTATTTTAATGTTAGTAACCCAAAGATAACTCTGACTCAGTTAATGTCATTTATAATTTTTGGTTATTAGGAAAATATAATTTAATTAAAATATTTAGTGTAACTATATTTATATTACACTAAAAACACTGAAGTGTTTTTAGTTTTAATTTTCACATTTTAATTTAAATATTGTCACTTGGGTGTATATTATTCAGGAGAAAACAACTTACGGCCAAGGAAGAAAGGAATGTCTCTAAAATCAGATGCTGTGCTGTCAAAATCAAAACGAAGAAAAAAACCTGATAGGGTTTTTGAAAGTCAAGAGGTCCAAGCTATTGGTGGCAAAGATGTTTCTCTGTTTCTCTTCAGAGCTTTGGGGAAAATTCTATATTGTAAAAGTAAGAAATTTTTACATTTTTTAGATCTGTTGGATGTCACATAGTCTTAAGATGGAAATAAAATGTCACCTTTTAAAAAATGTCATGTATTTTGGTTCTGCTCTGAGAGCTAGAGCTAGGTCAGATGCTGTCTGCCTAGGCCTAAGATGTAGTAGGAAAATAGAGTATTTTCTGACCGTGAGCAGGATGATTAAAAATAAAAACATGGTATTGTAGACCATATCCATGCATGTAAATCTTTAAAATTATAGTTTGCAGAAGGTAAGAGAGCAGATCATCTAGACTTTTAGTGGCAAGTGTTGGTAGCCTAAAGTCCTCTAAGGGTTTGGTAGCCTAAACCCCACTGGGCTCCAGCCGCCAGTGGCTTAGACAAATAAGGTAGTTTAAGGTTTCTTTCAGTCCTCTTGTATTTATCTAGTTTACAAGCCTGGTGTCTCCCCAACAAAAGACGTTTATTGCCCTTTCTGTCTTTTTTGATGACTGCCCCCTCTCAGTTCCTCCCCTCCCTGTTGCCCATCTGCAGTCTCCCAAATTGTCCCTCCTTTTGATAGTAAATGCCTATTTTCACTCTAATGATCCTAAATGAAAGAAATTAGGATTTCTTTTCTTTCTTTTTTTCTTTTTTTAAACGCTTAAGTTCTGGGGTACATGTGCAGAGCATGCAGGTTTGTTACATAGGTATACACTTGCCATGGTGGTTTGCTCACCTGATCATCTACATTAGGTATTTCTTCTAATGCTATCCCTCCCCTAACACAGCCCCCCACCCCCACCAGCAGGCCCCGGTGTATGATGTTCCCCTCCCTGTGTCCATGTGTTCTCATTGTTCAACACCTACTTATAAGTGGGAACGTGCAGTGTGTGATTTTCTGTTCTTGTGTCGGTTTGCTGAGAATGATGGTTTCCAGCTTCATCCATGTCCCTGCAAAGGACATGAACTCAGAAATTGGGATTTCTAAATGGAAAACTTCATATCATCTGAGGAAAATGAAATGGGCATCATTTAGGTGGCAGTGAGGACACTCCTCTGTCACTGGATCCTCTTACTTTGAACCTGAGTGACTATTCCCACCTGATTCTTTTCCTTCCCCCCATTCTTTTCCTCCCCAACATACATTTATTATCTCTTTCTTGCATTAGTGAATGGAATTCTTATTCTCTCATGTAGAGAACACCATCTTCCTACATCGTAAATAAAAGAGTAAAGACCACTGTATTGAGATGAGAATCAAGGGAAGAAAGCAACCCAAAGCTGGAAAAAATGAAATGAGAGTGCATTAGGAAATAGAATATTTTAAGTGTAGAAAAGCCATAATCTAAGCATCAGAATTCTAAATTTAGCTCTTGCTAATATGGAAAAAATGGGTGCTTTCTTCCAGTTGTTTATTTATTATTTTTTAACAGTTTGCTTACTGTGTTGGCATTGTATGTCTAAAGTTTTCAAAATGTTCAAATAAGAGGTGCTATATAATTATAAAGAATATATTTAATAATTTCAGAAATTTTTTATAGGGACATCTTCAACAGAATTAGATTCATCTCGGTTGCCCTCTCATTTATCAGAATATGAACGTGATACATTACTTGTTGAACCTGAGGTAAGATCTTTGATGACACTTAGTACAGGTTACAAAAGTTATATTATTTGTGTGCATATATATCTGACCATTACATTTTTACCAAATTTATGTATCTATGCTTTTTTTAATAGGAGGTAGTAGAAATGTCACATATGCCGGGAGACTTATTTAATTTATATCTGCACCAAAACTACATAGATTTCTTCATGGAAATTGATGATATTGTGAGAGCCAGTGAATTTCTAAGTTTTGCAGATATCCTCAGTGGTGACTGGAATGTAAGACCATTTGACTTACATGTTTATCAGTATTTCCTTAGAATTAAGAAAGTTTACTTTTATTCCTAATTGCCTGGCATTCTTCATAACTATGCTAAAGTTAATGTATCCAACTCAGTGTTTATAATGAAGCTTCAGTAGCAATTCTGATTTCGCTACTGATAATACAACACCAATTGTTTCTAAAGTTTGTGTGTGTGTGTGTGTGTGTGTGTGTGTGTGTGTGTGTGTGTAGGTGTGTGCATAGAGACAGGGTCTCACTGTGTTGCTCAGGCTGGTCTCAAATTCCTTGGCTCAGACAGTCCTCTTGCCTGAGCCCCTTAAAGTGCTGGGATTACAAGTGTGAGCTACCACCCCGGTCTCTAAAATTATTTTCTGGTTTTGTGGTTATGGTTTTTTGTTTTTTCAGAGGAAGCTGTAGCTATAGCTGTGTTACCCAGCCTGATCTTGAACTACTGGGTTTAGGGGAAACCTTTTGTCCCTGCCTTCCAAGTAGCTGGGAATACAGGCACACACCACCATTACCAAGTTATTTTCTTTTTCTTATATTTATTTTTTTTGAGACAGTATCTTACTTTTTTGCCCTGGCTGGAGTGTAGTGGTACAAACACGGCTCACTGCAACCTTGGCTTTCTGGGCCCAAGTGATCCTCCAACCTCAGGCACTCCCTCATCCAGTAGCTGGGACTATAGGCAAGCACCACTACGCCCCGCTAATTTCTTTTTTTTTTTTTTATAGACAGGGTTTTACTATATTACCCATGCTGGTCTCGAACTCCTGAGCTCAAGCGATCTACCTGCCCTGGCCTCTAAAGTGCTGAGATGACAGGCGTGAGCCACCACGCCTGATCCCAGCTCGTTTCCTGATTTTCAAATTAATGTATACTCAAAATTTGACAACCATTAAAAAGTAGATACAAGTGAAAGAACTGTACATGTTGCTACACTTTCTGCTAGTTTTTAAAATGTATTTCTTTTACATATTTGTAAGTATTTACTATAAAATTTACATTTTTTTCTTAACATCTTAACACTGCCCTTACCAGTACAACAGCCACCAACCACATGTAGCTATTGACACTTAAATTTAATTAAAAATTCGGTTTCTCAGTCATACTAGCCACATCTCCAGTGCTTGATAACTGCATGTGGCTGATGGCCGCTTTATTTAACAGCCCAGATACAAAACATTTCCATCATTACAGGAAGTTCTGTTGGACAACACTGTTTTGATATGTTAATATTTCTGTGTGTTATAAGTATTAAATTAAGGCCGGGCTCAGTAGGGCACACCTGTAAACCCAGCACTTACAGAGGCTGAGGCAGGCAGAACTCACTTGAGCTCATGAGTTCGAGACCAACCGGAGTAACATGACAAAACCCTGTCTCTATAAAAAAAATACCAAGAAAATTCCTTGGGCATAGGTGGTCCCAGCTACTCAGGAGGCGGAGGTGGGAGAATCACCTGAGCTCAAGAATTTGAGGTTATAGTGAGTTGCAATCGTGCCACTGTGCTCCAGACTGGGCAAGAGACCAGGACCCTGTCTTAGATAATAATACAAAATAATGAAAACACTGTAATTGAATTGTTTGTGACACAAAGGATAAATGCTTGAAATAATGGATACCCTATTTGCCTTGAGGTGATGATTATGCATTGTATGCCAGTGTCAAATTACCTCATGTACCTCATAAATACGTGCAGCTACTAGGTACCCAAACAAATTTTAAAAATTTTTTAAATGATAGTACAATGAATAGCTGCATATCCTTAACTTTTGTTTGCCAGTTGCATATTTTGCCACATTTTCTTGATCTCTCTATATATTTACACATTTGTTTTTGGCTAAATGATTGGAAAGTATTAATAGTTGGGAACATCATGACACTTAAGCATGCATAAGGACATTGTTCTAATACAACTGCCATAGCATTATTATACCTAAGAAAGTTAACATTAATCTAGCAATATATTGTCCCTATTCAGATTTTCTCATTTGCCTCAAAAATGTATTTGAAGTTGTTTCCCCCACCCCTGTCCAAGATCTAGTCAGGCTTTACACATTGTATTTGATTGATATGTCCCAGTGGAATTTGCTTTAAATAAGTTTGTAGTGCTGTTTTTTATAGGGCTGTAGTAATGTTGAAGAAAGTGAACACATAGAAACTAATTTGTGTATGTCAGGAATACCAGTAATGCTCTTTTATAAATCTATTTTCTTTCACATCTTTCTCATTTGTTAGACACGCTCTTTACTCAGGGAATATAGCACATCTGTAGCTACAAGAGGTGTGATACATTCCAACAAAGCCCGAGGATATGCTCATTGCCAAGGAGGAGGATCAAGTTTTCGACCCTTGCACAAACCCCAGTGGTTTCTAATAAGTAAAAAGGTAAAAAAAAAAAAAAAAGAATTGTATACTTTTAATATGTGAACTTTATGGTACATGAATTATAATTCAAAGCTGTTATTTCCTTTAAAACATAACAAAGGAAAAAATGTTTCATTTTTAACAAAATAGTTGCCAAAGTCCACAATTAGATTCTGAGTTTTTATAAAACATAGAAAGGTAACTCTTAAACGCTTGTACAATTTTTTAAAGGAAAAAAGACGATCAAAATTTGAATACATATAACATGTTTTATTTATTAGTTTTATTGGAATCAAAGCATAGTTATAATTTATTTTTTATTTGTTTTTTTAAATTAAGACAGAGTAACTCTGTCACCCAGGCCGGAGTGTAGTAGCTCACTGCAACGTCTGCTTCCTAGGTTCAAGCAATTCTTCCACCTCAGTCTCCCAAATAGCTGGGATTACAGGTGCGTGCCTCCACACCCAGCTCATTTTTTAATGTTTAGTAGAGACGGACAGAGTTTCACCATGTTGGCCAGGCTAGTCTTGAATTCCTGACCTCAAGTGATCCGCCCACCTCAGCCTCCCAAAGTACTGGGATTACAGGTGTCAGCCACTGCACCCAGCTGCGTATTTATATTTTAGTTTCAATTAAACATAAACTTTAGGGCCAGGCATGGTGGCTCACACCTGTAATCCCCGCAATTTGGAAGGCTGAGACAAGAAGAGCCCAAGTTTGAGACCAGCCTGGACAACTGGTCCAGTGAGATCCCATATCTACAAGAAAAAGAAAAACAAAATTAGAAATACTAGTTCAACCTGAAAATGTTGATTGGAAAACAGAAATCCCTAGTATATAAAATTTCAGTTAGACAGCAGGAATAAGTTTTAAGTTCAAGAGATATTTTGTATAACATGGTGACTATTAATAACAATGTGTCAGCCAAGCTCAGTGCTCAGGTCTGCAATCCCAGCACTTTGGGAGGTCGAGGCAGGTAGATCACGAGGCCAGGAGTTCAAAACCAGTCTGGCCAAGACAGTGAAACCCTGTCTCTACTAAAATACAAAAAAATTAGCTGGGCATGGTGGCGGGCACCTGTAATACCAGCTACTTGGGAGGCTGAGGCAGGAGAATTGCTTGAACCCAGGAGGTGGAGGTTGCAGTGAGCCGAGATCGTGCCACTGCACACTAGCCTGGGTGACAGAACAAGACTCCATCTTAAAATAAAATAAATAAAAACACTGTGTCATATATTTGAAAATCACTAAAACAGGAGATTTTAAGTGTTCTTACCACACACAAAAAATGTATGTATGGAAGGTAATGCATGTGTTAATTGGCTCCATTTAGCCATTCTACCGTATATACATATTTCAGAACATTATATTGTATACTATAAAAACATACAGAGCTTATTTGTCAATTTAAATTAATCAAAGAAAGGAGAAGAAATCTTGGCCCTGCCTCTGTCTGGAAAAGTTACTCACCTAATGTGCTCTTACTCTCCACAGCTAAAAATGTAGATAATTGAATTATTTAGAGGTAAAATATGGGTGGCCCACAAGTTGAAAACAAAATACACAACAGAGCTTTCAAAATGAATTGCCAGTCTTTAAAAATTGGAATGATTTTAAATGATTAAAAGTCAGATATTAGTTTCTAGCTTCAGAATTTCTGGATTCTCTGGGGGGAAAAAAAGGCCAGACACAGTGGCTCACACCTATAATCCAAGCACTTTGGAAAGCTGAGATGGAAGGATCACGTGAACCCAGGAGTTTGAGACCAGCCTGGGCAACATGGTGAAACCCCATCTCTATAAAAAGCATTTAAAAAATTATCTGGGTGTGGTGGCACACACCAGGAATTTGAGACCAGCCTGGGCAGCATAATGAGATCCCAAATCTACAAGAAAAAGAAAAAAAAATTTTTTTTTGTTTTTCCCACCTAGTCCCAGCTACTTGGGAGGCTGACATGGGAGGATTGCTTAAGCCTGGGAGACAGAGGTTGCAGTGAACAATGTTTTGCCACTGCACTCCAGCCTGGGCAACATAGTGAACCGCCTGGAATGCAGTGGCGCGATCTCAGCTCACTGCAACCTCTACCTCCAAGGTTCAAGCGATTCTCTTGTCTCAGCCTCCCAAGTAGCTGGGATTACAAGCGTGTGCCACCACGCCTGGCTAATTTTTGTATTTTTAGTAGAGATAGGGTTTCACCATGTTGGCTAGGCTGGTCTAGAACTCCTAACCTCCAGTGATCTGCCCGTTTGTGGCTGAATCTTTAAAAAGCCACTGAATCTTCAAAAAATAAAGGGAGGTGAAGCAACACTGGCTCATATTTCTGCATAGCAGCAATCACCTCACCATGTAGCATCTGCCCCTTTGAGATGAGAGTAGTAGGCACCACTGTCCCCAGCTGGTTCATTCACTTATATTGCCTGCTTGACTTCTTTAATATCTGAATTCACGACCCCTGGACTGGGTCATCTCTGAGTTGTCTTCCAGTCCTAAAATCATACAGCTGAAAAATCACCCTGTAGTGTATTACCTAGGACATTTTTTCCAACAGATTTATTGGAAAATGTAATGACTTTTAAGCAGTTTGTATCTCACTGACTTGCTTTGTCTTTTATAGCACATATATTAATTTTACATGGTAGCTACATATGAGTTATCTACGACTGTTAGCTTCTTGAAGGCAGGGATTATGCTTCTCTCTTCCTCTGCCTAACATTGTGTATACTAAAGAAAATAAATTATTTCATTGAAAAATAGTACTTTTATGTAATTTGTGATGTGTGTGTGCTCATAAACAGAATTCGTTTGATTTTTAAATTTGTTTTTCTTATACATTCAATGTCTTTTAAAAATTCTTGTTATATCAAATGTGAAATAGTTGTGTAGGTGAAATACTTTACTAAACAATGCTAGGACGACTGTAAAGGACTACTTAAATAAGCTCTTAAAAGTATCTTTGTGATATATAAACCCATAACTTAATAAAAACGTATTATGTAAGTTTATGTAATAAACTTAGTCTGTCTAGGAATACATATTTTTAATTTCATTTTTCCTTTATCTTTTTTTCCTTTTCCATACAGTATCGGGAAAATTGCCTGGCAGCAAAAGCACTTTTTCCTGACTTCTGCCTACCAGCTTTATGCCTACAAACTCAGCTGTTGCCATACCTTGCTCTACTAACCATTCCAATGAGAAATCAAGGTAATAACATAGGTTTTTCTTTTCTTTTAAGAAGTAGGGTTTTATAGCAGTATCTTTTTGTGGGCCAACTTATTGTTATATACAGTGAGATGTGTTGTTTTATTTCTTGATCCAGATACTTATAAATCCTTTATTATTATTTTTTTTTAAATATCAAACAGACCAGGCACAGTGGCTCATGCCTGTAATCCCAGCACTTTGGGAGGCCAAGACAGGCAGATCACTGGAGGTTAGGAGTTCTAGACCAGCCTAGCCAACATGGTGAAACCCTATCTCTACTAAAAATACAAAAATTAGCCAGGCATGGTGGCACGCGCTAATAATCCCAGCTACTTGGGAGGCTGAGGCAGGAGAATCGCTTGAACCTGGGAGTTAGAGGTTGCAGTGAGCTGAGATCGCGCTATTGCATTCCAGGCGGGGTGACAAAGTGAGATCTGTTTTTTAAAAAAAGCATCAAACAATATAGAAGTATATAAAGTAAAAATTGAAAGTACTTCCCCTGCAACCACAGGTTGTTTTGACAGATTGATATAAATTCTTCCAGATACTCTTCTGTGAATGTAGAAACATGTAGAATGAGACAAACTTTAATTTGCTTATGTCACTTACCATGGATAGCCTTTCATCTTTTATGAGTTAATGTCAAAGCAGCAATGCTAAAGTATATTGAAATCTAACTCATTTTTTTCAGAATTTTTAATAATTTTATTTAACCTTATGATGGATATTTTGATTTCAGTATTACAAAAATGCCTATTAATAGTATATTTTCATGTTATGAAATTATAATGCTACAAACATTACTATGCCTGTGGTAGTATACACCTGCACAAGTTTAGAAAATGTTGTGCATTCTTAGGCAAAAATGGGATAACTTTTGGGCAGTGGTCATGATTAATCTGTTGATCAGAATCGAGAGATTTCTGTTCTTCTTGCTAATTGTTTTAAGATTACACTAGTTTTTAAACTTTTTTTCTTTTTGCCCAGGCTGGAGTGCAGTGGCATGATCTAGGCTCACTGCAACCTCTACCTCCCGGGTTCAAGCAATTCTCCTGTCTCAGCCTCTGAAGTAGCTCGGATTATAGGCATGCGCCACCATACCCGGCTAATTATTTTTGTATTTTTAGTAGAGGGGTTTCACCATGTTGGCCAGGCTGGTCTTGAACTCCTGGCTTCAAGTGATCCGCCCACCTCAGACTCCCAAAGTGCTAGAATTACAGGTGTGAGCCACCATGCCCAGCCACTAGTTTTTAAACTTTATTTTGAAATTATTTTAAACGTAAAGATGCAAGAATAGTACAAAAGAATTTTTGTATATCCTTCATTAAGTTTCCTCATTGTTACATTTTTACCATATTTGCCTAATTATATTCTCTGTCAATATAAGCACGCACATATATGTATTTTGCTGAACCAGTTTTGAGTAAATTGCAGGCGTGATATCACATTATTCTTAAAAACTTAAGTCTACACTTACTAAAAACAAGAACATTTTCCTGCCTAACCACAGTATGCACATCAAGTCAGGAAATTAACATGAATACCATTTATTTTATAGTCCCCAAATTTTGCCATTTGTCCTAATATCCTTTTATTTAAAAAAAAAAAAAAAAAAAAAAAAACTAATAGAGACAGAGTATCACTATGTTGGCCAGGTTGGTCTTGAACTCCTGGTCTCAAGCAGTCCTCTCACTTCAGCCTCCCAAAGTGCTAGGATTATAGGCATGGGCTACGGCACCCAGCCCTAATAATATCCTTTGTAAAAATGACAACTCGTTCCCCATTTCTTTTCCAGAATCCAATGAAAGATAACCTGATGCATTTAGTGATATAATTTTTATGTCTTTTTCACCTCCCTTGACCTGGAACAGTTTTTTAGTCTTTCTTTGTCTATGACATTTTAAAGGCATATAGGACAGTTACTATGTATATTATCCCTCAATTTGAGTTTGATGATTCCTCATTATTGAATTCAGGATATGTATTTTTTTTTTCCCCCAGAAATACCACAGAAGTAATCTTAAAAAGAATTGGCAAGAAAGGGAAAGATATCTGTATTCTTACCAACAGATAATTATGTCCACTGCATATAGGTTTATCTTATTTTTGCCTATGAGTACCCAACATTTTAAACACTTTTTAAGTATCAATACTCACAAAAGCTATAAGATAAAACTATTCATTGTATTAAAGTAGATATTTACTCTTTAATCCTTTCTTCTGATAACTGATAAGGTCAACTCCGTCTTTAAAATTAGGGGGCTGAGTGCAGTGACTCATGCCTGTAATCCCAGCACTTTGAAGGGCTGAAGCAGGCAGATCACCTGAGGTCGGGAGTTCAAGACCAGCATGACCAACATAGAGAAACACTGTCTCTAGTAAAAGTACAAAATTAGCCAGGCATGATGGTGCATGCCTGTAATCCCAGCTACTCAGAGGTTGAGGCAGGAGAATCGCTTGAGCACGGAAGGCAATGAGCTGAGATTGTGCCATTGCACTCCAGCGTAGGCAACAGTAGTGAAACTCTCAGGGAAAAAAAAACATTCTGGGCCAGGCGTGGCAGCTCATGCCTATAATCCCAGCACTTTGGGCAGCCAAGGTGGGGAGATTGCCTGAGCCCAGGAGCTCGAGACCAACCTAGGCAACGCAGTGTTACCTTGCCTCTACAAAAATATTTAAAAATTGGGCTGGGCACGGTGGCTCACACCTGTAATCCCAGCACTTTGGGAGGCCGAGGCGGGTGGATCACCTGAGGTCAGGAGTTCAAGACCAGTCTGGCCATCATGGTGAAACCCCATCTTATAAAAAAAAATAATAAAATAAAATAAAATAAAAAATATTTAAAAATTATCTGGGTGTGGTGACTTGCACCTGTAATCCTGGCTACTCAGGAGGCTGAGGCAGGAGAATCACTTGAACCCGGGAAGCGGAGATTGCAGTGAGCAGAGATTATATCATTGCACTGCAGCCTGGGCAACAAGAGTGAAACTCCATCTTAAAAAAAAAAAAAAAAAAAAGATAAAATTAGCTGGGTGTAGTGGCTCACACCTGTAGTCCCAGCTACTCAGGAGGCTGAGGTGGGAGAATTGCATGAACCTGGGAAGGGAAGGTTGCAGTGAGCAGAGATCACACCACTGTATTCCAGCCTGGGCGACAGAGTGAGATGCCGTCTCAAAAGGCAACGGACCGGTTAGACATTTCTTAAAAGAAGACATACAGATGGCCAGTGTATGTGAAAGACATACAGATGGCCAAGGGATAGAAAAACTGCTTAACATTAAGGCTTAACACTAATGATTAGGGAATTGCACACTAAAACCACAATGAGCTACCACATTACACCAGTTAGAATGGCCATTATCAAAAAGACAAATGATAACAAGTGTTGGTCAGGATGTGGAAAAAAGGAATCCTCACAAAGTTAGTAAGAATGTAAATTAGTACAGCTGTTTTGAGGAACAGTATGGAGATTCCTTTAAAAACTAAAAATAGAACTACCATATGATCCAGCATCCCCACTACGGATATATATCCAAAGAATATGAAGTCAAGGCCAGGCATTGTGGCTCATGCCTGTAATCCCAGCACTTTGGGAGGCCAAGGCAGGTGGATCACTTGAGGTCAAGAGTTCAAGACTAGCCTGGCAAACATAGTGAAACCCCCTCTCTACCAAAAATATAAAAAATTAGCCAAGTGTGGTGGTGCAGTTTACTTCTGTAATCCCAGATACTCAGGAGGCTGAGGCCGGAGAATTTGCTTGAAACCGGGAGGTGGAGGTTACAGTGAGCTGAGATCGTGCCACTGCACTCCAGAGTGAGACTCCATCTCAAATATACATATACATATACATATATATATATATGAAGTCAATATGTTGAAGAGATATCTTCCCTCCCTCCCATGCTTTATTGCCACATTATCCACAATAACCAAGATATGGAATCAGTCTAATTGTCCATTGGATGAAGAAAATATTGGTATATATACACAATGGAGTACTATTGAGCCATATAAAAGAACAAAATCTTTTCCTTTGCAACAACATGGATGAACCTGGAAGAACTTATTTGAAATGAAATAAGCCAGGCACAGAAAGACAAATATTTCATGTTCTCACTCATATAGAAGCTAAAAAAGTTCATCTCAGCCAGGCAAGGTGGCTCACACCTGTAATCCCGGCACTTTGGTAGGCTGAGGTGGGTGGATCACCTGAGGTTGGGAGTTCAAGACCAGCCTGACCAACATAGAGAAACCCCGTCTCTACTAAAAATACAAAAAATTAGCCAAGCGTGGTGGCACATTCCTGTAATCCCAGCTACTCTGGAGACTGAGGCAGGAGAATTGCTTGAATCAAGGAGGTGGAGGTTGCTGTGAGCCGATATCACGCCATTGCATTCCGGCCTGGGCAACAACAGCGAAACTCCGTCTCAAAAAAAAAGGTGATCTCGTAGTAGAGCATAGAATGGGATTACCATGGGCTTGGGTGATAGGAAAGATGTTGGTCAAAGAATACAAAATTTTGTTACGTAGGAGGAATAAGTTCAAGAGTTCTGCTTTACAACATGATGGCTATAGTTAATAGTGTATATTTTGTTGTTGTGGTTTTGTTTCTTTTTTTGAGACAGGGTATCACTCTTGTCACACAGGCTGAACTGTGGTGGTGCGATCCTGGCCCACTGCAGCCTAAATATCCTTGGCTCAAGTGATCCTCCCACCTCAGCTTCCTGAGTAGCTGGTAACCACAGGTGTGCACCACCACACTCAGCTAATTTTTGTATTTTTTTTGTAAAGTTGGGGTTTTGCCATGTTGCATAGGCTGGTCTTGAACCCCTGGGTTCAAGCGATCCTCCCCACTCAGCCTCCCAAAGTGTTGGGACTACAGGTGTGAGCCACCACACCTAACCAATATATTGTATTTTTTTTTTAATCAAAAACTTTTGAGAATATTCCAAGTAACATATATTGTATTCATGAAAAATGCTAGGAGAGTAAATGTTAAATGTCTTCCCCACAAAAATAACTCTGTGAGGCAATACATTTGTTAATTAGCTACAGTTAGTCACTCTACAATGTATATATTTTTTAAAATGTTGCCCACAATAAATATATACAATTTTGTTAATTAAAATAATTCTGATTGTATTGTGTAATAGATTTTTTTTTTTTTTTTTTTTTTGAGATGGAGTCTTGCTCTGTCTCCCAGGCTGGAGTGCAGTGGCGCTATCTCAGCTCACTGCAGCCTCCACTTCCCAGGTTCAAGCAATTCTACCTCAGCCTCCTGAATAGCTAGGATTATAGGCACACACCACCACACCCAGCTAATTTTTGTATTTTTAGTAAAGTTGGCTTTTACTATGCTGGCCAGGCTGGTCTCCAACTCCTGACCTCAGGTGATCTGCCTGCCTTGGCCTGTGTAGTAGATTTTTTAAAAGGTAAGTATCCAAGAGCCCTCATAGTGTTAGACTTACGAATTTTAAAAGGTTTATAAAAATTAGTAAAAGTAAGATGTTTTGGTTTTTCTTATTACTTCTATATTTTCTCTATATTTTGATCACATATTCTCTGTCAATCTATGTCCAAGATGTTTTTTTGTTTTTGTTTTTGAGACAGTCTTGCTCTGTTGCCTAGGCTAGAGTGCAGTGGCACAATGTCCGCCTTCCAGGTTCAAGCAATTCTCTTGCCTCAGCTTCTTGAGTAGCTGGGATTATAGGCACGTGCCACCACACCTGGCTACTTTTTGTATTTTTAGTAGAGATGGAGTTTCGCCATGTTGGCTAGGCTGGTCTCGAACTTGTGACCTCAGGTAATCCACCTGCCTCAGCCTCCCAAAGTGCTGGGATTATAGGTGTGAGCCACTGTGCCTGGCCTGTGTCCAAGTTTGATAATACTCCTGGTTAAAATCTAGTGTTGAGCCCCTTTAGTGAATTTTTCATTTTAGTTGTACTTTTTGACAGAATTTTCACTTGGTTCTTTTTATAATTTTTGTCTTTTTATTGATGTTCTTTTTCATGAGACATTGTCATTACGGCTTTCTTTACTACTTTAAGCATGATTTCCTTTTCTACTTTGAAAATATTTATAATGGCTTATCTGAAGTCTTTTTCTGTTAAATTTAATGTCTGAGCCCTCTCAAAGGCAATTTCTTTTGCCCACCTTTTTCTTATGGGTGCGTCACACTTTCCTGTTTCTTTACATGTCATACCTTTTTGTTGAAAATGAGATATTTTAGGGACTATATTGTAGCAATTTTGGAGAAGTTTATCCTCCTCCTCTGGGGCTTGTTTTTATTGTTATGTGCTTGTTTGTTTAGTGACTTGGCTAAACGCATGTAATGAAGTCTGTCTTTTGCAATATGAAGCTTTTCTTCCTCCTCAGAGAGCTCAGCCTTGGCTGTGCCCATAGTTAACTTGGGATGATGGTGGTTTTAGCAGAGCTCACTTTGTCTCTTTCCCTGATATCTCTGTATAGCTCTCTGCTTCCTTTGATATCACACTGTTGGCTCCCCTAATTACTTTATTTATTTATGGAAAGGGTCTCGCTCTGTCACTCAGACTGGAGTGCAGTGGCACGATGGCTCACTGCAACCTCCGCCCCCTGGGCTCAAGCAATTCTTACGCCTCAGCCTCCTGAGTAGCTGGAACGACAGGCGTGTGCCACCATGCCCAGCTAATTTTTATATTTTTAGTAGAGGTGGTGTTTCACCATGTTAGCCAAGCTGATTCTGAACTCCTGACCTCAGGTGATCCACCCACCTTGGCCTCCCAAAGTGTTGGTATTGCAGGGGTGAGCCACTGTGCCTGGCTACTCCCTAACTACTATCTGATTGCTCTGTTTTCAGCAGTGCTTTAGGACAAAAATTTCTCCACAGTCTGATCCAGTTTAATTTGGGCAGGTATAGACTTTCAAGCCAGTCTCTGAGGGTTGTTCTGAAACCAGAAGGGCTGTTTTTAGTTATCTCTTTCACTGGTTCTTTCTTATGAAGTAGTTGGCTTATGTTTAGCTTGTTCTTAATTGAGAGAAGCTGGTTTCAGGGGTGCCCTTTAGGCTTGAACTTCCCCACACTATGTTTCAAATAAAGTCAGTTCCTTTGGGGAAAGCTTCAGGACTCTCTCTTCCTAGGGACTGCCTCTCCTCTAGGCAAAATCTCTAAGCCACTATTCTGGGTGGGTTCCCAGCTGCAGAGGTAGCCTCTAATTATTTTGTCTTGCCTCTCCCAATATGGACCCTCTGCTATGTAACAAGCTGGGGTAAGGGAGACTGCACTTGGGACAGGGGGCAGTGCCTTTGGATTAGAACCTCTTATCTTATGAGTAGGGCTGGGTGGAGAAAGGAAGCCCCAGACACCCTGCTGCACCCAAGTAGGAAGGAGTCCTTAGTTCTTGGCTGCACCCACCTGGAATGAAATTTTCATCAAGCTGAGCCCTCTCAGTTCAGGGTTGGGAATGCAAGGGAGGAAATAGTGGTGCAAATGCCTGAGATTCTCTGTGTTTGATTTTCTTGAATAAATATTTCCTCATTTCCCAGAGACTTTAAATGATTGATTTTGAAAAGTTTTCACCAATTTTCCTTATCTCTGGGAGTGGGTACACAAGAGCTTATGCTGTCATCCTGGAAGTCTACTATGGTCATTTTTTTTCTTTTTGAATTTTTAATTATGGTAAAGTATACAGAACATAAAGTTTATCATCTTAACCATTTTCAGTTCTACAGTGCAGTAGTCTTAAGTATATACACCTTGTTCTGCAACCAGTTTCCAAAACTTTTGCTTCTTGTAAAACTGAAATTCTATAACTCTTAGCATTAACTCCCCATTTTCCCTTCCCCCTGGCAGCCACCATTCTACTTTCTTTCTCTATGAATTTATGACTCTAGATACTTTATGTAAGTGGAATCATACAATATTTGTTGTTTTGTGACTGGTTTATTTCACTTAGAATGATGTCATCGAAGTTCATTTGTGTTACAGCATGTGTCAGAATTACCTTCCTTTTTAAAGCTGAGTAATATTCCATTAGATGTATATACCACATTTGGTTATCCATTTATTGATGGACACTTGAGTTGCTTCTACTCTTTGATTATTAATACTGATATGAACATGGGCATACAAATACCTTTTTGAGACTCTGCTTTTAATTCTTTTGGGTATATACACAGAAGTGGAATTGTTAAATCATATAATAATTCTATTTTTAATTTTTTAAGGACCCACTCTATTGTTTTCCACAGCAGTTACATCATTTTACATTCCCATGAGCAATGTACAAGGGTTCCAGTTTCTCCACATCCTTACCCACACTTTTTGTTTTCTGGTTTTTGATAACAGTCATCCTAATGGATGTGAATCGGTTTCACACTATGGCTTGGATTTGCATTTCTCTAAAGATTAGTGATGTTCAGCATCTGTTCATGTACTTATTGGTCATTTGTATATTTGCTTTGGAAAATTGTTTACAACTTTTAAAAAATCTGTTTCAGCTCAGATTTCTTTTATCCAAGATATTGGAAGGCTCCCTCTAAAGCGACACTTTGGAAGGTAAGCTGATCATCTCAATTTTTAAAAAGCTAATAATGAAACGTCTACTGACTATGTTCAGTATGAATCAATAAGTGTTACCTGTAACATCCAAGAAAGAAATACTGTACCTAGTAATTTATAAACATAATCATATTGTAGACCCCTCCTTTTCTTAAACAGCATATTATATTTAAGAAAAGGAAGGGTCTACAATACAATTGCAGACCCTTCCTACAGCACCAACTCCCAATGGACTATACCAGACTAAATGGAATCATGGAATCACAAAGGCAGAGGAATCTTTAAAATCCTCCAGTTCAACAAATCTAGAAATCCCTTTCCAGCTTTCCGGTTGAGAGATATTCTTAGCCTATGCTTGAAGACCTGCAGTGACTAGGAACTGCCTTAGAAAGTAGCAGTGTCTTCTATAATTTTTTATTTTAGAAAATTTAGAACATCAAAATAAAGAGATGTCTATATATATGCTGTTCATTTTATTGAAAATAGCATCTATGCCATTATCAGTGATTAATACAAAACCTATATTTCAGTTTGACTTAGCTTATTTGTAAAATCGAATTAAGCACTCAGGAATTATTTAAAGATTTAAAAATTCTGTCTGGGCGTGGTCACATCTGTAGTTCCAGCACACTGGGAGGCCGAGGTGGGTGGATCACCTGAGGTCAGGAGTTTGAGACCAGCCTGGCCAACATGGTGAAACCTGTCTCTACTAAAAATACAAAAAATTAGCTCGGCATGGTGGTACATGCCTGTAATCCCAGCCATTCAGGAGGCTGAGTCAGGAGAATCACTTGAACCCGGGAGGTGGAGGTTGCAGTGAACCAAGATCTCACTGTTGTACTCCAATCTGGGCAACAAGAGCAAAACTCCATCAAAAAAGAAAAAAAGACTTAAAAAATCTTGCTTACTGGATGCATGGACAAAAGTGAGTGATAGAAATGGCACCTCTGACTCCTCCTGACTTTTCTTTTATTTCTAGTCCCAAATGGAAAACTCTTGTGGTATGAGCTTTTTCCCCCTACCCTCAAAGATTCATTAAGGCCTTTGTAGTGTTAATGGTTTTTTCTGGATACTGGCTTATCTGTGCAGAGCCCATCTTTCCTATCACAGAAAGACCATGATGGCTGGGATCTTGAAGCATCATGCCTCTGGGGTGTCATCAGGGCTTATACATTTTATAAACATTGCTTTTCTTCCCACATCCCTCTGAATGAAAGCAGGACCAGGTGTCTCTGATGGCACCTTTCCTCCATCCTCCCGGATCTTGAAGCGTCATCCCACTGGGATGTGATCAGGGCTTATACATTTTATAAACATTGCTTTTCTTCCCACAACCCTCTGAATGAAAAGCAGGACCAGGTCTCTCTGATGGCTCCCACCCTCCCAAGATTATGGCATCAAAATAGAGACAAGTATCTTCTATTGTCTTTTTTCTCCTGAGATGTATTGGGTTGCACCAACCTAAATTGAATGAGAGTCTTCACTGTTTTACTATTGGTTCAGCTATTTATTTGATGTGGCTTGAGAGACAGATTTCAGTGCCATGTATTAAAATGACTGGTACTATTATCTTTTACTTATGTTGACCATATTTAAAATCCATATGTTTAGTACTATTTAGTATTGAATATTAATACTTAATATTTAATAGATGTTTAATTTCCTGTGATTCAACTTATATATTATTTTTGCCCATTTAGCTTCTTTTCAGCTTTCACTGTCACAGTCTTATAGATAAATCATCATGTACTTCAAATACTATTTACTTAAGATGAATTCCTAGAAATGAAATTGCTGGATCAGTAGGTATATTACCTTTTGAGGCTTTTCCTCTGTATTGCCAAATTGTTTGCAAGAATATTTTGCCAATTTTATAGCCACTTACAGTGTATCAGTATGTTCTTTTCTATTAACCCTTGCCACCACTGGGTTCTAAAAGTATCTTTGACATTTTAGAAAATTATAGTAGTAGGCCAGGAGGTCAGGAGTTCGAGATCAGCCTGACCAACATGGTAAAACCCATCTCTACTAAAAATACGAAAATTAGCTGGATGTGTTGGTTCATGCCTGTAATCCCAGCTACTCTGGAGGCTGAAGCGGGAAAATCACTTGAACCTGGGAAACTGAGGTTGCAGTGAGCCAAGATCCATGCCACTGCCCTGTAGCCTTGGCAACAGAGTAAGATTGTCTCAAAAAAAAAAAAAAAAAAAAAAAAAAAAAAAAAAAA